GTACGTGTCTGTGCGTGTCCTGCTCTTCCGTTCAGCTTGCTCGAGCGACCTCCGGATTCCGCAAACCGATTTCGCGTCTGGGCGCCCTCAAAGAGACGGTACGCATACAGTTTTAATTAAACGTATATGTGTGATTACTGGATCAAAGGGGATGCCGTTTCTGTAGTTATGGAATGGGTTTTACGTGTCTGTGTGTTGGATTATGTATTTGTTTATATATTAGATTGTGTGTTCATTGATGGTGTACGTTCGGAGGGCCTAGTATTGGCTTTGGACTATGTCGGGAAGAAATGAAGGGACAGGAAAGCAAAATGAGGGAAAACATACTTTACGGGCCCCTGTTTCACAGACTAAAAACTACTTTTGTATTCCAAAAATCATACGATCTATTTGATGCTCGCAAAATGCAAAGAGTGGTTATTTACCTGCTGCAGGGCCGATTAATGTGTCTGTCAGGAATTGGGACTGTTGCTGTTTTATTTTTTTCTGCATGAGAATTAGCACGGCGAATTTTAACTCTTTGTGTATTGGATTGGCTTCATTATGAGAACGGTCTTTTTCCCTGTCTATCTTTATGTCTAGATAATCCTTTGTCTGTCTGTTTGTCTGGCATGTTTGCTTGTTTCTCGGTTTCGATAATTTTAAATCTTTGGTTATAGCCTTTTTGTCTTTCTGTCCCAATATATCAAAGTCTGTCTGTCAGTGTATATCTTTCTACGTCAGTTCTCATATCTCTGTATATCCATATGTCTATATGAATGTCTGTCAGTGTTCCCTGCGCATTTATGTCTCTCTCTAACTTGATGTGCCTTCGCCTGTCAGTATCAGTGCTCCATTTTTTGTTCCTCTTGGTTGGTCTGACTTTTCTGATGTCTGTTTATCGGCTTTTCTCTCTCTCTCTCTCTCTCTCTCTTCGATCTCTGCTCTCTTCTCTCTCTCTCTCTCTCGTCGCTCGCTTTCGCTCTCGATCTCTACCTCCTTCTCTCTTTCCTTTCTTCTCTCTCTCTCTCTCTCTCTCTCTCTCTCTCTCTCTCTTCTCTCTCTCTCTCTCTCTCTCTCTCTCTCTCTCTCCTCTCTCTCTCTCTCTCTCCTCCCTCCCTCCTCCCGTTCCTCTCTCTCTCTCTCTCTCTCTCTCTCTCTCTCTCTCTCTCCTCTCTCTCTCTTCTCTCTCTCTCTCTCCTCTCTCTTCTCTCTCTCTCCCCACCCTCCCCTTCCTCCCTCCCGCCCCTTCTCCTCTCTCTCTCTCCCTCCCTCCCCGCCTCTCTCTCTCTATTACATTTTATCATAATCTGTGTAAGTAATGATATTCCGACGGCTTTCTCCCTGTGCTTTGGTATTGCGATGTCTTCCAGGAACGCTGCCGTTTGTCCTTTCTCCCTATTGAAAGGAAGTCGATGATGTTGTCGTCAGTGAATATTTCTGTGCAACGAAATACGTTCGTTATTCTCGGAAACAGGATGAGAGGATGTAAAGTGGAATGTTCTCTTGGTTCATGATATGAAAAATATAAGAATCCAGGTTCAGTATATACACATGCATACACACACACACGAAAACACACGCACACGAAAACACACGCACACGAAAAACACACGACGAAACACACACACACGAAAACACACACGCACGCACGCACGCACGCACGCACGCACGCGCACACACACACACACACACACACACACACACACACACACACACACACACACACACACACACACACACACACACACACACACACACACACGAACGAAACGAACGTATCTCCATCCATTCCAGTTCTTTACTCGCTCATCTAGTTACCTTTTCCCACTGTGTATCGGATGCGTTTTTCTTGCACTTTTTACTCCCTCACTGCCATTTTCTGTGTTCTGTCGTCCCCCTTGTGTATTCCCTTTATCTCTGTTCTATCCACCTTCTTCTCTGTTTCCCTTCTTTCGCGTGTCTTTCCTGTCCTTCACCTATTTCCCTCCCATTCCTTTCCTTAATCTTAAGTTTCTTTCCATCCCAGTTCGTTTGTTTACATTCCTTCGTATCTCTTTCCCTTCTGTCATCACACTTCCCTTCCCTTCATTTGTCTTTTCCACCCTCCATCTCTCTTTCCTCCCATCCACGTCTCTTTCCCTCGCATCATTTCCGATTCCCTCCCTTTACCTCTTTCTCCATCCCTCCTTTCTTCACACTTTCCCCATATTCACCCATTTTCCTCCCTTCACACTTTCCCCACATTCACCCATTTTCCTCCTTTCATCATCCATCTCTCGTTCTCTTCTCTCATCTCTCTCTTCCCCTCCTCCTCACCTATGCTATCGCTCCTCCGCGCCGCGAGGAGCTCGGGAGTCAAGGTTGCAAGGTTTGATGTAATATTGCAATCAGGTAATGCATTTCGCTGTTGACGCTGTAATCTTGGCGGGTGAGGGACGGCGCCGCTGCAACGGAGGGTGGGAGGGGGGGTGGGGTAGGGAGGGGGGAGGGTGGGGGTGGGGGGGGTAGGGAAGGGGGGCATCGGATCGAGTGAATGGGCGGTGTCTCTAGACGTTTCATTGATTATCATTGCGCGTCTTTTTCTCTTTTTTTTCTTTTGGTGGGGGTAGGGTGGGGTGGGAGGTGGGGAAGGGGAAGGGGAAGGGGAAGTGGGAAGGTGGTGACGGTGGTTGGGAGAGGCGGAGGGGAAAGAGGGAAAGGGGGATCGGTAAGTGGGGTCGTTTGTTCGGGGCGGGGTCGAGGGTTTCGGGGTGGCGGTGGAAGCTCGCCTAGGATGGGAGGGGGGGAGAAAATAGGTATGAGGAATGCGCAAGGTACTTGAAAGACTTAAACATGTATACTCATCTTCCTGAGTATCTTGGGAATGGGATTGGAAGGAGACTTAAGGAGCTGAGTGGCATGCAAGGAATGGCAAGATGAACACGCCCTCGCACTGGAAGAGGAGGAGCCGGATGATGAAGGAAGAGCAGCGGACGACGTGGTAGGAGAGAGAGTCCGTTGCCGAAGCCTATTTTCTGTCCGAGTAGGTTTCTATGGTTGTGCTTTGCTTAAATCTTATCTCACTCTCTTCTCTCCTCTCTCTCTCTCTCTCTGCTCTCGCTCTCGTCTCTCCTCTCCTCTCTCTCTCTCTCTCTCTCTCTCTCTCTCTCTCTCTCTCTCTCTCTCTCTCTCTCTCTCTCTCTCTCTCTTCTCTCTCTCCTCTCTCTCTCTCTCTCTCTCTCTCTCTCTCTCTCTCTTCTCGCTCTCTCTCTCTCTCTCTCTCTCTCTCTCTCTCTCTTCTCGCTCTCCTCTCTCTCTCCTCTCTTCTCTCTCTCTCTTCTCTCTCGCTCTCTCTCTCTCTCTCTCTCTCTCTCTCTCTCTCTCTCTCTCTCTCTCTCTCTCTCTCTCTCTCTCTCTCTCTCTCTCTCTCTCTCTCTCTCTCTCTCTCTGTACAATTTTATCAAAATGAGCTGTGACGGTGTACAAAATTGCATACTTTGAATAGTACTGCAGTACCTGTTATGACTGTTTCATGTAACCTGGAATCAGCGAAATGATACCACGACATCGAATTATATAAATGAGATATATGAAATATTTAATCAGATATTCATGGAAATGCGCCAATTCAAGCACCAGATCAGATTTTATTATAGGTGGTTTAATCAAATATTAAAGAGGATTTGACAAATACGACGTATAAAAATAAGTAATATGTCACAAACTTTTATGAAAGAAAGGTTATATAAAATCATATCTCATATGATATTGGGTCTAACACATTGAATGTGAAAAGTCAATGGTTTTTGGGCAGAGAGATGACGGAGACAGAACAGAAGAGAAGAGGACAAGAAAAGACCGAAAAAAAACAAGAAACAGAACAGAAAGAAAGAGCGGGAGACGAGATTAGAGGACAGAGGGAACCGAAAAACGGCAGCAGAGAAACAGAAACAGAAGAGAGAGAGCGGGAGACCAGAGATAGAGAGAGAGAGCCGAGGAGACAGAGACAGACAAGAGAGAGCAGAGGGAGGAAAAGAAGCCAAGGCAAGAGAGGAAGAAAGTAAGAGAGCTAGAGACAGAGGAAAAAAGGCGAGAAGGGAGAGGCAAGATTAGAGGAGAAAATGCGAGAGAGCGAGTAGAGAGGAAGAGAAAGCGAGAAGATAGCGAAGAGAGAAAAGAGAGATGGGGGAACAGAGAGATGGGACAGAGCAGAGAGAAGGCAGAGATGGGGCAGAAGAGAGGAGAGATCGGTAGGGGACAGGGTGAGATGAAGAAGATGGGGACAGAGATAGAGAGAATGGGGACAGAGAGAGAGAGAGATAGGGAGAGAGAGGAGAGAGACGAGAGAAGAGATATGGGAGAAGAGAAGAGAGAGGAAGAGAAGTAAAGAAAGTACGGGAGAAGAGAGAAGAGAGGAGGAGAGAGAAGAGAGAGGACGAAGTGGGCCGGAGAGGGAGAGCTGAGGAAAGGGAGAGAGAATGGAGGGAGAGAAGAGAGAGAGAGAGTAGGGGAGAGAACGAGAGAGAGGAGTGGAGGGAGGGAGAGGAAGAGAGAGATGAGGGAGGGCAAGAGAAGAGAGGAGAGGTAGGCGAGGGGCGAGAAAGGAGAGAGAGATGAGAGGAGAGAGAGAGAGGAGAGAGAGGAATGGAGAGGAGAGTAGAGAGAGGAGGGAGAGAGAAAGAGAGGAGAGAAGAGAGAGAGAGGAGAGGAGAGAGAGAGATGAGAGAGGAGAGAGAAGATGAGAGAAGGAGAGAGAGAAGGAAGAGAGAGAGAGAGAGAGAGAGAAGATAGGGAGAGGAGAGAGAGGAGAGATAGGGAAGAGAGAGAGAGAGACGAGAGAGAGGAGAGATAGGGGAGGAGGAGAGGAGGGAGAGGAGAGAGAGAGAGAGAGAGAAGAGAGAAGAGAGGAGAAAGAGAGAGAAAGATAGGGAGAGAGAGAGAGAGAGAGACGAGAGAGGATTAGGGAGAGAGAGAAGAGAGAGAGAGAGGAGAGAGACTAGGAGAGAGAGATGGAGAAGAGAGGAGAAGAGATGATGAGG